TGTACTAATACAAGCATATTATTGAGAACAAAGCTAAGACAGAGCACCTATTTGTACTAATACAAGCATATTATTGAGAACAAAGCTAAGACAGAAGAATGAAAACTTCAAAATTAATTTATTCTAAGAAACCAAATACACCAACACTTGATAGACCCAAAATCAATGGTCAAATTAGAAACAAACCATGTCAATTATAGCACACAAAGAAAACAGAATATACAATTTTGGTAGATAATATGCACATAAAGCTCAACAAGACAACAAAAAAAAATATTAGAGCAGTCAAAACAATTAGAGGAAACCAATGCAACGCAAAATATCCAATTTCAGGACAATAAACACATAATGCTCAACAAGACAACAAACCCCTCCTCAGGAATTTCAATTATTATCACAAATACTTCTCTCTCTTCCTTCCCATGGATACAAACAAAGCATGACAAATGACAAACACATAAACACTATAAATTTATAATAAACAATCTATGATGGATCATTCATTCCAATTCATTTTTCATTAACTTGCTTGGTGATAGTGCTATACCAAAAATATACTGTCTTATGGAGTACATATTCAAATTAATTGTTACTTTGTTGGAACAAAGATCACTAGACTCAATTGCTGCTATACTTACATGATATCAAAAGACAAAACATCAAAAGATTTAAAAAATTTTAGCAGTTAACCACAAGCTCCAACCAAACTATCTAATATCTATGCAAATATCTAAATATTACAAAATATTGTTCCAAAAGAAGTCATTATCTGACTTAAACTAAAAAGTCAGCACTTAACAATTTGCAGAATAAAGTTAGCCAATATCCACATTTTTTTGTCCTTCCTCCCAAGGTTCCATTGTCCAAAAATAGAATTTTTTTATAAAAATTATTCAAAAGGCAAATGTCTAAATTCAGATGCTACAACATAAACTAGAATATATAATTGGAAATTAAGCTAATCTAAGCACAACTTAACAAACTTGTTCATCCTAACTTCCCAACAAAGTTGCCTCCAAACCAAGCCTCTCAACACCTATCATGAAAATAAAATTAGTATATGTTCCATTATTATAAGTACTTAATAAGGGAGTTTATAAAATTAGTATATGTTCCATTATTATAAGTACTTAATAAGGGAGTTTATA